AATGCAGGGCCCGTAGTCCCGCATGGTACATTGGGATGCTGAGGGACAGTCTACAAGCTGGAGTTTAGGGGAGATGAGGAGAGCGCCAACTGCCAGGGAGTGCGGATAAATCAGGTAAGTAAAATTGCTTTACCCTAGACCAAGGTGAGCATTTCACCTTTGCAATGCATTTTCCTCAGAGATAGTCTTTAAAGTTATCATAGACATAAAGCTAGCTATACCCGTTGTGGTCTGAATATACAATCACCTTTAGATTTATCAACAATTATATAGTTCATAGTCTACCTGGTTGGAACCAAATTTAATACATTATTTAGGTAGGCCCTCATTCAAAATCTAAAGAAGAATGTACAGAGTCTACAATTAGATTGTAACTTGTGTGGCCAGTGTAAGACAGCAGATCTGGAAACACTGTGTGCCCAGTACTTAACCAATAATAAATACTATATACCTACAAAAATAAAAATGAAGCCAACAAACAAAAATACCAAATATACAAAAACACATAAAAGTCCTAAAAAGATTTCATAATATTAGTTTTAAAGGATAAATTAACTATCAGAGAAAGTGCACTTATTCTTTCTGCCCCTCTCTGCTGACATCACAGAGCACCCCCTCCACAGATGTATGTCTACTGAGATCGTGGGGGTGATTTACTAACCTAAACACACACACACACACACACACACACACACACACCAGGTGTGTGTGATTTTCACACAGCAAAACGTATTTATCAACCAAAAAGTCTCTAAAAGCATATTTCCACTAATGCCATATATGGAAAAATCATGCACATGATGCATATATAACGCTGCTTCACAGTTTAGACAAAAATGGTTAGCTCATGCATTTACATTCATCAAAGCAAGCAACACAACATAGAGCTAATTTACCCAACATCACCTTGGAATTCCTTCAGAGCTTTGCACAACACACCTGCTGGGTGTGTACACATTACAAAGGTGTTTAGATTCCACCCATAGATCATGCTGGGAGGGAACACACTGCAGAGGTCTATACACGTTCGTGGTGTGTTTATAAGGTTAGTAAATCAACCCCCTAGTGTCTGAGGCCTCCCGCATTTCTTTACCATCAGCTCTAAACTCATTTCACTGCTGTAAGGGAGACTTCTATGAGGTCCGTCTACCTCTGTCTTCTGGCTGGTGGTGTGCCTTTATGGGACTCTACTGCGTAAGGGGGTTTGGTGCTGGATGTAAACAAATGTAGGAGACCCTAAGTGTCAGATTGTAGTATAATGTACAGTATATAATTGTAGTATAATGTAAATACAATATGTGCCAGACTCTTGCACACTCCACCGCTGTGCTTGGTATAACAGCTATGAATAACAAGAAAAATACAAAGGGGCCAGTAAATACTTCCCAAGGGATTGGTTGGCAAGGATTTGCTTGCACAGGTCAGATAAAACCCCTAGACTATCAGTCATCACATAATGTAGATAAAACCATCTCGATAGGGCAGTGGTCATCTCACATATATGCCTTTTTTACTGGTTGGTAAGAAGCATCTCACATTGGAGAAGCTTACATCCTCCATGGAATACAGATCTGGTTACAATCTCTGTGAACCCTGGTCCTACTGCTCAGATCTTTATTAATTTTCTGTAATGGTGCTGCTTGGTAAAAACATAGCCTTTATTAGGTCACTTAGAAATGGATGATGGTGCCATGTGTCATAGGTATACACATTTCCTAGGAGTGATGATTTATGAAGGTCTGTGTAGTCTACATAAATTAAATGGTTTATTAAGTGGCATTTCTTTACCTAAATTGGATTGTACAACTAGAGAAGTGACCGCTTTTATCCCACCTAAGATGTGGTGGTAGGTAATATATCTTGCACTGTTAAGCTTTAAGTACATTTCTTGTTACATATGCACAATGTAGTTTTCCCTTTGGGATGTAAATATTTTGAGCACTATCAGTTATATACATTTTCGCCCAAGCTGGGATTGTTTGCAGAAATGGCATATGTGTTATCTTGTTTGCAAAATAGGGTTGGCCAAGAAGCAGCTTTATATTTTTAATAGCAGATGTGCTAGTGTGTGACCAGTTCTGTAAAAGATTGTTTTAATGATCTCAGTGAATTTCTTTATACACTCACCATTATGGAGCCTCTTAAACAACTAACATGTACAGTATATGCTGTTTCTCTACTTGGTCCACTTTCAGCAGTAGAGCCAGGCACAACATCCTGTTCATTAGTCACAATCTCTGGGTCAGGCTCCGCCTCCTCCTGCTCCCCAGCCATTACAGAAAGAGGGAAAGGCATACCACCTTCATTAGACACACCCACAATATCCTCTTCCGTTTTACAGTCAACAGGTTCCGGACTAAGTTCCCTGGGTTCACCTGTAGGGGGAGCACAATCTACCTGAACCTTTTTATTTTCCCAAAGTCTCCAAAACTGTGGAAAATCCCTCCCCACTATAGCTTCATGAAGCAGGGAGGGTACTACAACCACAGAATGTGTCACAGAGCCCCATGGGGTATCAATGTCCACAACAGCAGTCTGATAATCATGTGTGTCACCATGTATACAAATAACCCCAATAGTGCTAGGGTGGTACCTGGTGAGGCTGAGAAAGTTGGCTCTGACCAGAGTTACCACGCTACCAGAATCTAGCAGAGCTGTAACTGGCTTTCTGTCAACTGAAATAACACACATCTGTCTCTCAATACGTTCCTGACATGATGCAGTACACACCACTTGTGCAAAGACCGACATGCGTTTTCTCAACATAGCATAATCACATTGCATAGGTTCATCCGTCAATGGACAATTAGCAGCAATATGTCCTAACCCATGGCAACAAAAGCATTTTATGGGTTCTGCACCCAGTCCTGTATATGGCCTCATGGTCCTTCCTGACCTACCAGGCCAGTCTCTAGGTCCAGAGCCTATAGTCTCTCCAGTTTCAGCAAATGTCTTATAATTTTCTCCCGTGCCCTTAACCCCTGGTACAGGCTTACCAGGTCCTCTGGGCAGGTATCCCCTGGGTGAGACGGGAAGCTCAAGCACGGGGGTACTTAGCAGGTCTGTCGCTGTGGTGTATCGCTCTACCATGTCCACTAGCTGGGTAGCAGTTTTGGGGTCTCCTTGGCTGACCCATTTCCTTAGGGTGGCAGGGAGAGCCTGCAAATATTGGTCCATCACCACACGCTCCATTTTATCCGGTGGCGACAATGCCTCAGGTTGGAGCCACTTCCTGGTAAGGTGTATCAGATCAAACATTTGGGACCTTGGGGGCTTTTCAGCCTTATACTGTAGGTCCACCGATACACCCGCTGGGCATGGACCGCCGTGGTAACACCCAGTCTTGCCAGGATTTCAGCCTTAAGTACATCATAATCCTGAGCAGCCTCAGGTTCCAAGTCGTAGTAGGCTTTTTGGGGTTCACCTGACAAAAAAAAGGTGCTACCCGCCCCACCCACTCACATCTCTGCCAACCTTCTCGTTCAGCAATCCTCTCAAAAGTAGTGAGGTAGGCTTCCACATGATCTGCAGTTGTCATCTTTTTCAGGTAATAGCTGGCACGCTTCACCTTTTGTTCCACTGGTATTGAAGCCACAGAGTTGCCGTTTAATTCTAGGAGGCTCTGAGCCACCTCCTTGAGTACCTCTCGATCTGCTTGCTGAGACTTCAACATCTGCCGCTGAGCTGTAGTGGCCTGCTGCTGGGCCTCTGCAAACTGGTGATTTGTCTCTTGTTGGGCTGTAGTGGCCTGCTGCTGGGCCGTAGTGGCTTGAATCAAAGCCCTTATCACATCCTCCATCATGCAACTTGCTCAGGGAAATGCCCGCCAGATCCACCATATGTGGGGGTATAGTTCGAATGGGGGATCACCTTCCCTGGGAAAAAGGCAGTCCAGGCAGCAAAGTTCTTTTTCTTTCTGACCACATCCAACGTGTAGCTCTCTCAGAAGGCTGTCTTGAGTCCCAGGCCACAGCAAAACCATGTCTTAGCCTACCCCTTTTATCTCACCTGGACAAGCACTCGTCAAGCAATCAATTATCCTGGTGAGTCACAAAGCCCGAGCTGGACTTTCCAGACCCAAAGTCAAAGCGAAACCCTGGTCAGGGTTCCGCTCTTCCTGCAAATAGGATAGAAAGCGAGGGGAAACATACCGCCCCTCAATGACGTCTCCATTGTGACAGTATTATATCACTCTTGCTTTAGCCTGCGCCTAATATGTGCTGTACATGTGCAATGGTGTGCAGAAAAACAAAGCTCATGGTGTGGACAAGCCCTCAGGGTTTTTAAAAGGTTATAATATATATATATATAGATACATACACATATATACACACACATAAACACGCACAAACGTGTTAGGCTGATCATGGCGTGAACATATGAACATTTGCTGGTGGTAAAAGGTTAATAATTACTTTGAACCTTTGAGGGCTGACTGACTGACAGTATTTTTTTTTCCTTAAGAGAGGGACAGACAGCTGTGTTTGCTGTGATATTTTTAAGCACATTAATGTAGGCTCCGATCGCTCGGCCCTGCTTGACCTATTTTTGGCTCGGGCCGGCCATTGTTCTATTTTTGTACCCTGTGGGCCACGCTGTTGTTGATTCACATGCAAATGAGTTATCACCAGCTATAGCCAACTTTACTGAGAGAGACAGAGAGTGAGAGAGGAAGCACAGGAGGCAGATGCAGGGAGGAAAAAGGCAGATATAGCAGGACAGAGCTGACATTTCCTCAGTCTGCAGAACCCTTCACCTTTCCTTTACCATCATTTTTAGAAATTCAGACATTTTTGACTTTGCCTTTTTCTTTTTGAGGATTGCAAGAGAAAAGCTTGCACACATCTCCTGTTGCACCTGCTGTCAGGGCACACACTGGCTTAAAGGCAAGGTACACTTGACACTGACAGCTCCTTGCTATATTGCCAGAGCTTGTGTAGAGAGAGGGGAGAGAAGCATCCACACTCTGCTCTGTATCCTAGAGTACTTAGCACAGTAAATATGTGTATAAAAATGGAATAATTGTCAAAGTGTGTATCACTGCCTCCTCCCCCTGTGGAGGAGTTAAGACTGCTGAAGGGTCGCTTCCGTACAGAAGAGTGATGAAGCTTTCATGTGTCTGAACTACAGAGTGATTGGAATATGCTGCAGACGATTTATGAGAGTGAATCATGTTTTTCCTCAGATGGGGTCTCTGGACGAGAGAAGCTCCTGGCACAGCACAGAATGCACAGCATGATCAGTCCAGGTAAGAGGGGGCACTGCATGGTGTAATGGCACACACAGCCGGTGAAGTTTGCATTAATAAAGACAAGCAAGCTGCTGTTTAATGAGGGCTTTCCCTGCCATACTCTTCCAGATGGAAGTTTATTTTATAACCATGTTATTATAACCATATTATTATTATTATGATTAATAATAAAATATTACCAGATTTATATAGCGCCAGCAGTTTCCGCAGCACTTTACAAAACGTACAATGTGTTGGGTTTGAAAGAGCAAAAAGATCATAGATGTCTTTTATTACATATGCATATATAAATTTGATATGTGATTATACTATACGTGTAGGTGTGAATGTGAAGTATGTATCAATGTAGCATGAATAATTGTTTGTGTATAGTAATAACAATATATATTTATACAAACACATAGGCTCTCAAAAACGTACATAAATACAGATTATATACATTTGTGTATGTGTATACCTGAGATGCATCTTTCAGAGGTCTGTGCATGCATATATAGTATGAAAAAGTACGTGGCCAGCATAGCTATATGAAACCTTGTCCATACTACATCATGTTTCTTTATCATCGTAACAATACCTATTTATAGATTTCTACCTTTGCCTGTATCCTGCGGGGATCATGAATTAATTGAAACATGACTGATCCATCAGAAAAGACCCAAGCACCTTATCACTGAATGGATGCCTCTGGTACGACGTATAGGAGCTCTCCGCACATCATATACAGTATTAATGTATAACGAATTGCATTAGATCAATATGGGCAGCAGCTCAGCCTTTACATACAAAGTGAATATCAATACTAGTTAACAGATTCAGCCACTAATAAGCTCTGTAGGGTTTGGATAGGCATTTTTGCTTTGGGATGTATTGGAGTAGTATTTGGCACAAATAACCCGCAGACTTTTTGAATAAAAGGAGGACTGCCAGGACTAGTATTTAAATCAGTTCTCTCAAAACAGATATTTCATTTCTGGGCAGATACCGGCAGGTTCAGTTTTGCACTGGCTTCTTGTATTCCTTGCAGACTCTGACAGCAAGATTTCTACAGCTGGGTTCCCAGGTCTGCCAACCTGTTGAGGCCGTTGGGTCTCTCATTTAAATAACAACAGCGCATATTAAGGAAAGACAATACTCTCTGTGATACACATATAATTCTGTCCAATTTCACTGTAGAAATGATGTGTGTTGTTGTTGTTGTTGTTGAACTAGTACAACACAGATGCACAAAACTTGGAGATTAGTTATAAATCTTTAGTGACAGGTGAAATAACCAGACGCAAAATACTCCACATTGCTGCTATTAACAAACCGTGCAGTCTTCAAGGGTTCTCTGACTGTAATTGTTTGAAATTAAAGCTGACTCCAAAATGTCATATATATTGATTAAAATTAATTTCAATATTAGCAACATTATATTACAGTGATAGCAGCAAAAATATAGCCTCCATATTACTCCTGGTAAAGACTTTATTGGATATGTTTATACAGTTTTTGAACATAGTTAATGAACTGTTGTGTGGAAATTATTCCAGTGTATTGACTTGGCTCAAAAAGGACCATACTGTACTAGGCTGGCTACAGATTCAGCAATAAGTTTGAGGATAGACAGGTGTCTGAAAACCAACCTCTTTAAACTGAGACCCACTACAACCTGGCCACTGTCCACACGTGTCACTCACGTAGTGAAACTCTGATTCCGCTTTTCCATAGGTGAGGAAACACACTGTGATTACTTGTGCAATTTTTCTAAAAGTCTTTGATTTCCCCCGGGTATGTCCTAAATAGCCCTAACCTCATGTGATCATAGAAATGCTTGAGTTAGGTGCAACTCTTGTAGACTGACTGTAGTTGACCACAGATATTAGGTAGCTGTTCTATGTGTGGGAGCAGTCCAGCTGCAAAACTTGTATTTGCAGTCTAGTACATAGACAGTCAACAAGCATGCATGTTGGTGGACTGTGTGGACACCACCCACAGCAGCCTTTTGTTGTGGAACATTATCGATTCAAATAAGTAATCCATTTCAGCAAGTGACTTGTAGTTCAGAAACAAATGACTAGAGGTGGCTTTCAATATGTGATTGTACCCATAGACAAAGCTATCATTACCTGGCTGGGCTGAAAATGACTAGACTTGGCAACAAGTTTCTAACCTCTATAGATACCTAAAAGAATTGCAGATGATTACAGAGTTTAATCCGTTAAAGAAAAGAAATGCCAACAACAATAAATGTAATGTGCTGTTACACCAAATTATACAACTTTAATGTTTGTTTTATGGAACATGCTTATGGTGAATTACCTCTATTACTGTACATGGTGACAGTGTTTGTAGTCAACCTTTTAAGAGTTTCCACTATATTAGTGGGGGGTTTTTTAGTCAGGAAGTGGTTTTTGACATCGGCTTTTAAAGCTTACACGTTGATAAATAGAATGTGTTAAAAGATTTTTGGAATGTCATCTCAGCTTTGTAGCAGGTAGCATTTGGTTTTCACAAGTCACTGCATCAAAGTATGCAGGTGAGGCATGCACATTTCTAACCAAAGTGGTCATCTCTTTTGAAGGCAAGAAAACGGTAGACATGTGCGATTCGTTTCGTTCCGAATCGAAATTCGGACGAATTTTTGGAAATTCGGACATTCGGATGTATCCGAATTCCGAATTACAGACATAACGAATGCAAAAGAATCCGAATTTCCATTTCCGAAATTCGGTAGCGGTAGTTCGAACGTTCGTTTCTTATTCGTTTCTTATTCGTTTCGTTCGTTGGAGCAAAGTGACATTAGAGGAGAAAAATATTTTCCCCCCCTCAAATGTCGCTTTTGCTGCAAACGAACGAAACAAATAAGAAACAAATAAGAAACTAATAAGAACAGAAAACGAAACGAACGTTCGTACGAACGCTACAGAATTTCGTCCGAATCCGAATTCCGAATCCGAATTGACTTTCACACACGAATCCTGAAAAACGAAATAACACAAATCCGAATTTAAAACGAAACGAAACTAAATGAATTTTTTGGCAGTGCACATGTCTAGAAAACGGAGATATATATGGCCTGTACCAGCAGTTTATTGCTGTACAATATATACGTTTCCTTTGTTTTATGGGACAGGCATTCTGTAGGTATGTTACATTGTTTGTAAGGATTGGCACTTATGTACATTATGTATAGCCAAAACCTTTTTATTTATTTTTTTTGGCGCAGGGAAGGATTAGAACACTTAATGAGCTTTTATGACTGTGTTCCCCTGAGTAGATTCGCCTTTTCTATTTGTCCTGTTGACTATTGTCACCGGGACAGAAATGCAATGGGAAATTAAACATTTTACATTTGTCATGAGAACAAGAGGTGAGGGTAAATCTTCCAATGGGGACACCTGTTTTGAGACAACTGTCTAAAGTTAGCTAAAGCTAGCCATACATGCATAGATTTGTCTCATTCAGCATGCGGATTGAACGAGAGAAATCTTATAGGTTCCTCCATCCACGCTAAACAACATGGATGGAGGAGTCTCCTCTGTTGGCTATTGTTTCCTACAGCCGCCTCTTGTGGCTGTGTGAATACCCGAACAGTGATTGCATCTGATTGGATGCACTCACTGTTGGGCTGATAATTTTCTACCCGGTCCTTTCAATTTTTTAATTAACGTTTGTCAAGCCGGGTGGTGCCAACAGGGACACCCACAGCTCAAATTTCAGATGATTTAGCAGGAACTGGAAGATCTTCGATTGGTATATGACTACCCTATGTATGTAGTTTCTTTTTTCTTCACTAGGTCAAGAACTTAAGGGAATCTCCCTAATTAAACACAGACAAAAAAAAACTAACTATTCCCTATTCTCTCCAAAAAGAAAAGAAAGATTTGGCCTTACATACACTTTAATGCACCACCCAACTCACTGCATAGTATCCATGGACCTAATTTTTGCGCAGTACATAATTATAATGAGACCAACTTTTTCCTCATTAGTAGATATACAATTTTGTGTTATGAGCAGAGTAATATGTAATATTCACAAAGCAACCTGGCAAAAGATTAGCCATTCCGCAGAGTTCAGTTTCCCATGGCAGTCATTTCCAGTGAAAGATGAAAGATGAAAATCTGATTGTCTGTTATCAGTTAATGCATCTGGCTTCACATTTCCAAAAGAACATTAGGCTAGCCATAAACAAGCATTTTGTTTTTGAACAGTACCTGAACAGCCCTTGTACCCAGTCCTCTTAATGGGATCGACCCAGGTAGTGAAACTCATATTGCCATTTCTTTGGTGAAAGGGAACAATTGTTAATCAATTGCAAAGTTTTTAGAAGACCTTGGCATGCAATAACCAGCAATTCTAATGCTCTATATTAGTCATTTTTTTTTTATGGTAAGTCTACTCAAAACCAACATTTTGTTTTTGGTACATGCTGGAGCATACTTTTTGTTCTGTCTTATGGACACCTAGTGAGATGTGTGATCTTTGTTTCCTGGGTTTGAGCACCTTCTGTGGCCAATATGAGTGGTCCCACTGTTCCTGATTGCTTTTTTTAAAGGTTACATAGAATGCAACAGGAGCTGCTGGAACACTGAAAGGTGAGAAGGAACACCCAAATATTCCAAGTGGACATGTGTCCAACAGAGTTTGGAATTATGAGAGCTCTCATTGTTGGAGTATCCAAGACATATTAGAAATTGACTTAGCCAATCGAACTCTATAACTAAAATGTAACTTTTAGGTCAACAGGCCCTTTAAATTATACATGGCCTGACTGTGGCAAGAAAAGTCGTATTGAATAGCTTGCATTTTCTGTACCTTTAATGGCCCACCTTACAGGCAAGTGCTGCTGAAACTGAGTAGAGGTATACGTCTTTGTAGCAATTTTAGGTATTATTTCACACAAGATATATAATTGCCTTCTCAGCTGAATCTATTGGGAATGCTCAACTTGGGTCTATCAATTTCATGAATAAGATTAAGCAATACCATAATTGTGTAGAGCAGGCTGA